CTTGTCTCTTTGTTTTTCCAGTTTAATGTGTGGGCATTCACCAATGATGAAGTTGTCCTGGCTAAAACACCTGGCATCAGCTTCTGCATGGACGTCAACCATCATCCCGTCAACCTTCCTAAACCCCAGTACAGCACCCCCTTTCAGTAGGAAATAGTAAGAAAGAGACTTCGCCCTTTTCCTAACAATACAAGATGGGAATGAAAGGTTCTTGCCTCAGTAGAAACTATGGCAGTGGTCTAACAAGGCAGAAGGCCAAAGCAGGAACACCTACCACTTCCTGCTTCTTCCCCAGCTCCTGGTTGCACGTGAAAAAAATTCCAATTGGCTGCTCACGTGTCAGCAATGCCCACCCTAAGCGCCACCCCAGTCAGAAATTATATAAATACCCCATGTCCCACATTTCCAGCAGAAAAAGCCAGGCCCTGGAGGTTATGGAGTTCTCTCCACATCCTTAGAATAAAGGCTATTTTATTTTATATTCTCTCTTTTATCATGCGGAAAATCCTACCAAACTCTATTATGCTGTTTCCTTCCCAGTCCCATGCTCTTTTCTTTTTGCTGTCTCAGAACAGTGGTAGGTGGAGAAGGCCACCTAGCGGGATGGAAGGCTGAGGCAGAAGAATTTCAAGTTCAAGCTCAGCTTGATTCAGGTCGATTAGCATCTTCATAAGATTTGGAGTTTCAATAAAGACATCAACAAGCCACCTGAGGCAAAATTAGACATTTTAGAGAAAGCAGGCAAAGTTTTCTGGGTGAGTTCCTTCAACTACTGTGTAGAGACAGGGTGTCATAGGCAGGAAAAAGGACAAAACAGGACCTTGTTAAGCTTTATTTAAAAAATTAATAAGAAATCTTACTAAAGGTAGATTTTGCTTCTACAGTTAAATTCTAGCAATTAAAAAAAACAAAAGTAAAGAGAGAAACAGAGACAGAGAGAGAAAGACAGTGAGAAACCAGATTTGGTAAGGTGCCAGGTAACACAATTAACACAGGAATTTAACAGGAAGAGTCAACAGGCAAAGCAGGAATGGAGCCAGGAATGTGAAAGACCAGAAAAACCAGCTTCTTTTCCCACCACTGATAAAATGCAAAGATAAAGGGCAGCCATCTGAGTACTGATTTAATATATAAAGATACACCTATACATACAGACTTCATGTATATTCTCGCTTTAGCATCACTATACCTGCACCAGATACACACAGGTCCCCTTTACTCTAAACTGCCCTTCTATGAGGCTTAGCCGTGGTACTTATCCACCACAAAAGGCCAGAAAGAAACAAAGAGCCAGAAAGAATGTAGACAGAGATTTGGATCAAACACACTCAAAGAGCCAATCAGATGGCCACAACATCCAGGTGCCCACATGAGGGGTGGAAAAATCACTAGTTTTAATAAAAAGAAGCCAAGTACAAAAGTTCACAGGTATTCACATCTGATACCCTCTATTCCCCCAAAGCAGCTATCTTCTTTTTTTTTCTAATTTGTTTCCAAATAAATCATCTTTTATTTTAAACTCTGCCTCTTTAATTCATTATTGAAGCTGAGAATTTAAAATCCCAGCAGCTGAGTGTTCCAGACAGGAGTGGTGTATACATCTCACCCTGCCACAAATATGCTTGTATCCTATAAATATACATAGTTAATATCTACCAATTAAAAGCAATTTTTGGGGTGTTTTGAGACAGGATCTTGTTATGTAACCCAGACTGACCTTCAATTTGTGGTAAGACTGCTGTCTCAGCCTCTCAAGTGCTGGGATTATAGGCACTCACCACCAAGCCTAGCTACAATTTTTTAAAAAAGAAAAAAAGTTAGCCAAGTACTTTACAACTACAATAGAAAAGATGACTTGAGGGCATCACAAGAACTAGCAGGGACACACTCCCTTTCCAGAGTGCAAAAATGAAAGTCTACTTTGAGAAGAGAGCCTTGGCACCCTGCTGGAGAAGGAGAATAGTCTCCTGGGGCACTAATTTCCTGGGATTCAGTTCACAGTGCTCACTCATCCTATCACTCAGAGGCCAGTGCACTAACAATACAAGAGGGTCTGGCTTCTGATCTGGCTAGTAGCAGGCCTTGACATCATCCATGTGGCATCAACTTTATGGGCACGCAGAATGCAACTTATGAGGATCAGAGAAGTTTCTACCCAGCGTTCAGAAGGCCTGAGAGGCCAGGCATTTTGCCTCTGAAGGGGCAGTGTGGGAAGCTGGGAAGGAGAAGCCAGATGTGCAATAGAGACCCCTGGAGAAGCTAGGAAGGTTAAACATCTGAGGAAAGCTGCAAGGAGTGATCAAAAACCCAAGAAAGAAGCCATGAGGGTTACAACCACTGCTGATGCCTTCGGGCCAGTGCTGCCCAAGCCCTCTAGAGTTCTTAGCCCCAGGTGCTGAACATGAAACTACAGGCTTTAGTGTTTGCCTGCTGAGTTTCAGTCTTGCTTTGATCCCACTGTTTTCCATCCACCTCCTTTGGAATGGGAATGCTTACCCTGTGTCACTGTGTTTCTTTCTGATCTTTACAGGGTCTCGTAGATAAGAGTGTAAGTCTCAGATGAGACTTTGGATTTGGGTTTTTCAGCAGTGCTGTAGCTCTTTCCTTCACTCTGCTTCCTGGATGCCATGACATAAGGAGATACTCTTCTGCAGTGCTCTGTGCCAGGCCATCCTGCCTTGGAACCAGCCAACTCGGCCCTGGCATAGGGCCGAGACTACTGAAATGTGAGCCAAGATAAACCTCTCCTCTTTTCCTTTAAATTGTGTGTGTCTGGTATTGTGTCTCTGTGAGAATGAAAGTGACTCAGGCAAGGGAACTAACTAGCCCTTAACTCCATTCCCCTTCTTGCTTTCTTTACTCACAGTCTCCATTTATATTCCGCTCAGTATTCCCACTGCATTTCTTCCACCCCTTTGTCAACTCAGTGCAGCCTGACTCCTTTCCTACAAATCCACATGCTACACTCTCATCCCTGTTAACCAGTAATGTTCATGTAGTTGTATCTCTGGAGAATATTGTTTTGTTTTGTTTTGCTTTGCTTTGCTTTGTTTTGTTTTAAATCATGTGAAATATTTTAATGTATTTTAAACTGCCCAGAAGAATGTCCTGGTATAATACGTGGCTTTCCATCTGAGTCTCCTTGATTATACTGTGCCTTTCCCCCACATCCTTCTTCTGATTTTTTTCTTAATTTTGAGATAGAGTTTCCCTCTGTACCCCAAGCTGGTTTGGACTTGACATCTTTCCGCCTCAGCCTCCCTAGGGCTGAGACTGCAGGCTGATTCCACCATGCCAAGCTCCCTACCTCTTGTTCACCTTCCAGACCTCCACTGCCCTATGAAATTCTCAGATTGGAAGGCATCCCTCCTGACCAGGTCTCCTATCCATTTCTAGCTTGGATGCATGATGTGCTCATCTTTGTTCCTTGTGACATGATTTTTAAGCTCTTCTTTTGTGCCTACCACCTTGTCCTATACTAGGCTGTTTATATTCACCTCCCCAAAGAGCCTCTAAATTTCCTAAGGACAAGGACCACCTCAGATACCCATAAGGGGGAAGTAATGCCCTTGGCATTCATCCTTTGGTCTCAGGAGATAGACTTTTCAGCCTGCATGTTATGTGTACAGAATATTTTGGATACAAGGGAGTAGATCCTATGTTCTTCTTACCTTTTTTTTCTTTTTTTTCATTGTTCTGGATATATCTTGATTACTGGTGCTGCTAAGGTAAATAACAGACTTAAAGCTCAGAATTCTGACTCAGAGACCTTGAAACTGAAGGATTTCTGTCATATCTCATGTGTATGCAGCAGCAGTGGACAGTGCATCAGATTAGCAGTATCAGAGCAGGCACAGCAGAGATGGCAGCATGTGGCCATGTGTGTGTTTGTGGCCTCAGACAGGGGCATGTTTGTAGCTGTGCCTGGGGCTCCTCTTCAACTCTCACTTACTTACAGAGAGGAGAAGAAGAAACACTGAACAAAATATACGATTACTGGTGAGAAATGCCATATAAATGACTATTATCTTTCTGAAAAGCAATTTGGTATCCACTATCACAGGATCCTGATGTGTTTTGTCCATTGATTCTGCATATAGGAAGATAAAAAAGACGTAACTAAAAGTTCATAGACAAGGCTGTTTCCCACAGATTGATATCTAATCACTATTAATATGACCATTCAAGTGATTATAATATATTGGTCACCACCATGTTACATAATCATTAGGGAATCACCATAGACTCATTAATAAAAGAGTAGTTAGAATTAGAGAATAGCCATATATAATATATGTTCATTATAGACTGGTTCATAAAAGTTACTAATTTCAGTTTGGGTTGATGTAACATCCACTTATTCACAAACATGAGTATATACTTGTATATATATATATATATATATATATATATATATATGTATACACCTACTACATATGGGTATATATAAAGGAAAAAGCTAAGATGAAATTCAACAAAGTAATGCTTTGTTTGTTTCTTTTTTGAGACAAGTTTCCCCATGTAGCCAAGACTGGGCTCAAACTTGCTATATAGCTCAGCCAGGTCTCAAATTGAGATCCTCTTTTTGGAGCCTCTTGAGAGTTAGTTTATAGGTGTATGCCACCATGTTCAGCTCACCAAACTCATTGATGTTCATCTTTACCTCTTGATGGTAAGATCATAGCCATGTCCATTTTCATCTTTCTATTTTCCTGCACTTTTCAAATTTTATACCAAAGTTGGCTCAATTACAATAAGATAAATGAGTAAAGGAGTCTGGTGGAGATGTTTAGTAGAGAGCATTATTATTTTAAAGAGAGAACTTCTTTAGTGGGTGCAAACACAGGGTAAACTTTGTCTGAATGGGATAATTCTACAAAAAAAATGGATGAGTCACATTCATGCTATGTATGATTCTCTTCTTGCTGATATTATCTATTTTTTTTTTCTTTTGAAGCTTCCTGAGTTGACAGAAACTAAGATTTTAGCCCTTCTTTCCCATGGAGTTCTCATTCTCCAGTGGCAACTACTATGACACAGAGGACTCGTTTTCTGAAGACAGTTTAAACCTTCCCCTCTCTGATGGCTATGCCCCTTGTGAGGACACCATTTCCTGTGAGGATACAACCTTCCAGGAAGAAATAACTTTCAATGTGGACTTTTCAGTGCAGCTGCTAGTGACTAACGAACATAGAGGGGGCATGGAAAGTGAGAGTTCACCCATAAACAGACAAGGTCAAATTCAAGACAATCCCGAGCCTGTTTTGATGCAAAGCAATGCCCTGCCCTGGGAAGAGCATGATGCTATGTTAGCAAATGAAGACTACATAGTACAAAGTCTGCTGAATAACCTTCACAACTATCTACAAAATCTAAATGATGAAGAAAATCAGACAGATGACAATGAACATCAAACAGACGGAAATGAAAATAAGAGAGATGACAATCAGAATGAGAAAAATGAACAAATACTGGAAAATGACAAAGTTGAGGACTCTGTGTTCCTAGAACCATCAGATGGACGTGATTTGCAGCCAGGCAGCAGCTCCCCTCCACTCGTAGCTCACATTAGTCATAGAGAACACAGTACCTGTCAATACTTGCCCAAGCACAAACTATTGGAGAATAAAGATGTTGACCAGCTCCCAGAGATGACTCCAATGCTCAAGGGACAGAATCTTGAAAAGGTGAGCACAGAAATGCCCCCCAGGAGAGCAAGGGAAAGGCCTAGCAAAAGTGCTAAGCTACATAGAACAGAACCTTAATACCCTAAGTGGGGCTGGACACTTGGGTGTGTGACATGACCAGCAGGGAGAAGGAGAAAGACAAGAAGAGAACTCAGGAAAATCTGTAGAGAAAATATCAAAGAGGCTGAAGGAAAGGGCAGAATAGGAAAAAAGAGAAGGGCTAATAGTTATGAAAAAAACTGTGTGTATATGAGTGTCCGTTTTTAACTATTAAATAAGAACTGACTATTTATTTTTAACTATTAAATAAGAACTATAGTCCCTTGAAGTTGGGCTATTTCTGATACAAGGATTTCAGTTGCATAAATGAGTAAATATTGACTTCATGGTTGGTGATGGTGCACGTATATAACTCATCCTCCTTTTTTATGGCAGGTGGTGAACCAGGCAATGGGCAACAAAAGCTCAGAGACCCGCTGGACCTCATCTGTGCAGCCAGAGGAGAAGAACATGTCTTCCAGCACACAAATCACACACTGTGTGAACTTTAGACGCATGTTCCGCTGGATGAGGAAGCAAGTATGCTGCTGTGTAAGAAGAAAGTCTAAGCAGATTACTCAGAGCCCCTGCCAGTAGGCACCAGAGAGTAGGTGTCCAGTTACAGGCAAATTGATCCAGCAAGAAGAATTCTTCCAGTAATTAGCATCCCCTGTATCTCCAGATTTTTAAACTACATTGTCAAATAAGTTAGGAAAACCACACAATTGTGGAACTCATAATTGAGACTGACTTCCTAGTAAGTGTTTCAGCTAGGTTTAGGTATGATCTAAGTTTCATTTGTTGAAATTTAATCCTCACTGTGAGGTATTCAGAAGGCAGATAACTTTACATGACCAGTGAGCACAAGACTTTCATCATGATCCCTATGCCTGCTTGCTTGTGGTTTCTAGAACCCATTATCTGGAGTCTCTTACAGATTACATTCCCACCATTAGGTCAGTTTAAAGATGTATTTGAGAATGTTAAGATTGATAGGCATTTCTTCCATGTCTTCACTTGTAGTCTAAGTGTCCTTCAAGGTGAAATGAGTTTCTTCTAAGGGAAAAAGATTTGGGTATTGCTTTTCTTATTTATTCAGTCAATCTATGTCTTTTTATTGGAGAATTTGATCCATTTACATTCAAGGCAATTATCAATACAGACTCACTCAAGCCATTTTAATAACGTTTTAATTTTTATTACATTCTCTTTCTTTTCCCTCTCGACAATTTTCCCTTATCATTATGTGATCTATGCCTGTATTGTGTTTTGGTTCCTTGCTTATTGTTTTGAGTTTATCTATTATAGCCTTTTGCTCTGTGGTTATTACAAGGCTCATAAAGCTATCCACTGATCAAGTTATTTTGAAAGGTTAACAATAAATCATGGTCACAAAGATAAAAGAAGACAGACCAAAAAAGATAAAATATACTAATAAAAACTTCTACACCTATTCTCCACTCTTCCCCACATAATGCATTTCCAATGTCCTATTTTATGTCTTTCCATATTTCCTATTTTAACATATTCATGTAATTTTACTTTTTAGTTGTTTAGTATTTTAGTCTCATATTAAAGACATGAATATTTTACATACCATGTTTACAATATTATAATATTACCAAATTTGTTTCTATAATTACCCTTATCAGAGAATTGTTTACACCTTCTGATGTTTTCTTCATAGTCATTAAAGTCACTTCATGTGAGCAAATCCCTTGGGTATTTCTTATAGGACATGTCTGGAGGAAGTATATTGTCTCAGACTTTGTTTGTTGATGTATATCTTATCTCTTACTTTTAAAGGACAACTTTACTATGTACAAGAATTTTGCTTGGCAGGCCTTCTCCTTCCACTACTGTAAAATATCCATGCTACTCTCATCCTGCCAGAAAGTTTAATCTGCAGAAGTCTTCTATCAAAGAACTGAGAGAGACTTACATGCTTTTTGTTTCTTTTCTCTTTCTGCCTTGGGAATTTTCTCTTTATCTTTCACTCTGTCAGTTTGATCACTTTCCTCTAACTTAGTCACCTCCCTTGTTTCTGAATTCCAATACCCAACACCCACAAACTTAAAGGAAGAGAGCCTTATTATGGTTCATAATTACAGTTCATAGTTGTCTGGTTTCGAGGCAGGAAGGCAAGGCAGATGAGTATATCAGAGGAAAAGTTGCTCGCATCATGACAACAAGAAAGCAGAGCAAATCTATCAGCCATGGGAGGAGGTATACCCTTCCAGGAAATGCCCTCCAACACAGTTCCTCCAACCAGACCCTACTTCATAGTAACACCCTAGTGCTATCATCCTCATAAACCAATCATCTTCCAAACACATAAGGCTTTGGGTGCTATTTTATACATACACTATAACATGCCACTTCTGGCCCCCAAAAGACTCATGGACATCTCTTTGTGCAAAATACATTCAGACCACCTCTAAGAGTTGTCAGTCTCAACAGTTTCATCACTGCTAAAGTCCCAGGCCAAAGACTCCCCTGAGACTCTTAACTGTTAGGCCTGTAAAAATTAAAAAGAAAGTTGAACACTGCCAAACCAATGGAATGGGATATGTAACCCCATTCCAAAAAAAGGTAGAATCCAGGGAGACAAAAGCAAGATAGAAACCCAGCATGGGAAAAATTAAATTCTATAGTTCCATATCCAGCATGTGAGGTAAGTAGTAGAGAAATGCAAACTGCAAATCATTTAGGCAGCCCCATCTCTCTGTCACTGTCAATGGTTGTAGCACTTATGACCTCTCTAAGGCCAGCTTTGCTCACTTCTTGTGGCTTCCCTCAGATATTTCACATTTCTGGCTCCTTCAACTTTCCAGAGTTTCCATTGAAATTCTGGCTTCACTCACAGCTTCTTGCACTGCCTTCTCAGAGGCACAGTTCCTGGCTCCCCAAGATCTTCTGAAATCCAGCTGCAATCCTCTATGACCCCACAACTCTTGCATTATGGATGCCTAAAAGCAAGCACCACATAAATAGACAATGCCACCAGTCTGAGCAGTAGTCAGGGCTCCTTTGTTCATGGTTACCTATGAGTGTGTGAAACGCTGATCACTGTGAAACAAACCCTGGTAAACTAAATACGTAGGTGGCCCTTCTGGATCAGGATGTCCTGGGGTTTTCTTCTCAGAGCAAAGTCTTACGTTTTTGTACTCTTGAGCCTACAAGTGGTAAGGTCTTGTGGATTCTTCACAACCTTCAAGGCATCATCATATTATCTTGATATAAAGAACTTGGCTTCTCATTAATGTTAATCTTTTCATCAACCAAGTTCTCCTTGACCAAAACTGTGTAAGTTCTTCCTGGGAAACAGAAAGCTTTTAAAATCACTCAACTGTACTATTTTCTCTTGGCTCTCAGTTTAAAGGTGGCTATACTCCAAGAGTCAAATGATCTTGAAGTTTCCACTGGTATATTTATGGTTGAAAAGGGTAGCATTACAAAATAGCCAAACACTTTGAATCAAGACAACAGGAGAAATGCCTTAAGGGCATATCAGGAATCAACAAGGCTCCACCCTTTACAGGCTTAAAAGTGTAAGGTGAAAGACTGCTTTGAGAAGAGAGCCCCAGAACACTGTACACCAGAACATCAGCAACCATTAGTCTGTGGATTTCAGTTCATAGCACTCAGTCATACAAGTGCTTGAAAGCTTCAGCCTTGATACGAAAGAACCTGAAACATACAATAACTAAAATACCACCAATGGAAGTGGATGCAAATACACTCCACAGGAAGGATGTGGTGAAAAGTTTGACTACTAGTCTCTACTCACAGTCATAAATAAGAACACCACTTGAATTTGAAGTACCTTCATATTCTTGTACCATATTCTCTGTTCTCACATAAAAGTACATTCAGCAAAGAAAACATGTCTGGGCAAAGTACAAAATAGAAGCTGAGTCCCAGAATTCCTCTTATTTGTTCTTTCCTTGAATGCTGTAGGAGAAATCCAAATCATATAATTATAAGAGAAAAGCAAAGATTTTTATCTCTAGGTGAGTTCCATTCTTTCTTGGAAGGCTTCAAGAAAAAAAAAATCCCTGAATGATAAGGAGGAAAACAATGATCTTTGCCCTTACATGTGTTCCATTCCAGTGCTCATCAGAATAAAGAAGAGTGATCTGCCTTAGGAATAACAGAATAAATTCATTAATTTTTAAGATAAAAAAATCCAGGGAAATTACTCATTCCATTAAAGCCCAAGATATTCAGGGGAATACTTGTATTCTGCATCCCTTATGGCTCTTCAGCTCTGGGAGAGCCCCTTGATAGGAGAAGGAAGGCTGCTGCTATAAGTTTATCAGAATTGTACAATGCTTACCTATTTTACAAGTTAACAAAATGATAGACACATTATGCTTGATACATGCCAGATATTAATGAAAACCATTACTTAGGTTTCAAACCAACTTAGTTGCAGATAATTGTCACGACATCTCTTGGCATGCTGGCACAGAAACAAGTGGGATGTATTACACTAAGAAAAATAGCCATATGGATCTGGGCCTTGGGGATGCTTCTTGTTCGTATAGTCAAGCATCAGAATGTCCTTGATATTTCAGACATCACAAAAGATGGAGGATATCACTAACCTTAGTCAATTACTAATACCAGGTAAATGAATCATTAGTAACACTGAGAAAGAACATCATATTGCAGAAGTGTGCTTACCAAGGAGACACTCAGTGAAGAACAAGGAAAACTTTATAGCCAAATCTATTTTAACAGGTCCATCTAGCTGTAATATAGTCCTCCAATACACTTTCACTGTTTGGTTTTATTTGTATATCTAAGAATCAGATTATTTAGAAATTTCCATTTGCATGTAAGTAAACAAAGTCCTTTGTAGCATAAATCCCAGACTTCTCAAACTACTGATGTTTATTTCAGGGAGGAGAAAGCATTGAATTTTTTTGTCACCTGTCTCAGTGGCAGGTAGAAAATGAATAAAGAAAGAGGCACTGCTTATTCATGGAGTTTTTAAATCTATTTTCTTTTCTTTGTTCCTCATAAAGTCATGGAAGGAAACTGGACAGATGAGGGACCCTAAAACTAAGTTTTATTAGCTTCATAAAAAATTCAAATTCATCACAATGCAAGTCCTGAACTTTATTTAGATCACAATTTAAATACGTTTACATTTATTCCACAAAAATATTAAAAAGACATATTTGAGACAGCTTAAAAATGAGTATAGACTGCCTTTACCTGGAAAGCAGAGAAGATAAACCCAAGTTTTCTGTCTTATCACAAAGTTGTGATTCTCTACGCTCTGCTTACTCAAAGGTAAAAAGTCAGTTCCTGTCATATGAAGAAGATTGTTTTAGTACTTCATCAGATAATTAGCTGGCAGACTTAAAACTTTGTGTATTTCTTAGAGGAAACTCTATGAGACTAGTACAGTACAAAATAAGATTTCTTTACTGAGTTTTCAGAGTAAATTGAATTTACTTATCAACCTTTTAAAAAATAACTAAGACTTTATAACCTTATCATATTAAAGGCAGCTAGCAAAAAGAAAAAGAAAAATGGTGCATAGATTCTTTTGATAAAATTGGAAACATAAAACAAGTCTGATA